AAATATTGAGAACTGCTAGTTTAATAAACAATATTAAAAGTAAAAAAGAAACAATGAAAGAAAAAAATAAAAATAAATACGTGACCCTTGGACCTGATCTAAGAAAACAGTATTAGCTAGCTTCTTTTTTTTTTTTTTTTGATTTTATATATTTTTTACATTGTTTTTCATTTTTGCACAATGTATGCATTTTCATCTTGGTTGTAGTCCCCATACAATTCCCACCACCCTTGTTTTGCTCCTACTCCCTGCTCCCCGCCCAGTGTGTCCCTGGTTTATAGTTGCTAGCTTCTTATCTAAGGTATATCATAGTCAATGCAAACATGAATCCATGGATTTTCCTCAAAGGTTGACATGAGCCATTTAAAAATGACATTAGGGAGACATCATGGGGAAAAGAAAATGAGCATACCAACTCTGGCTCTTTCTCCTCTCTGCCAAAGCCTCAGGGGCTCCCCTGTGACTGAAAAGGAAGGACACACGACTGAGAGTTACTTTCCAGGTCCTCCACAGTCCAGGCATCTCTCCAACATTTTCCAATATAATAGATCCTATGATCTAATCTAACAGCTACTCCTGTTTTATATGTGACTGCCGCCCCATCCCATCTCCCCCAACCAGCCTTTGATTCAGACCAGTGCATCTCAGTGGAAGAACTTGACTTTCTCTAGGCACAAACTCAGCCCATCTTTATAGGGTCAGGACAATGCCTCTTCCCCATCTAGGTGATTGCCTTTCTGGATTCCGCCTCTCCTGCTTTGCTCTCTCTTCTTTGAACCCCACAGCAAGTTCCCAGCACTCCTGGGCCCCATGTCTCACCTTGCTTACTTACCAGTGTTTATGTTCTAGGCCAGTCTGGGGCCTGCTCAAAAGCAAGATGTATGTCCCGTTTATCTTTATGGCCTCTATCACCTTGCTGGATGCACAGCACACAATGGATACGCAACATGCACTCCAGCAAGGAAGGAAGGAAGAAAGGAAGGAAGAATGTAAAGAACCAGGAAGGAAAGAGAGAAGGAATTTAAAGTATTATAAATTTCTTTGGGTACTTGAGAGATGAAATATTAAGACACATCCCTTCCTCTTCAATTTTTGAGGGGAGACAACTTGGACAGCTGAGGGTTTTTAAGAAGCACAGAAAGCCAGACTGTTGGTTCATTTCTCTTTGGTTGTGTTTTGGAGGGCTGGTCCACCTTGCAGCTCCTTCTTTGCATATCCATGACATGTCCAGTAACTGGTTATTTCCTTACAAGGAGATAAGCAGCAGCTGCCTTCCCATCCCTCTTTTCTCTGACAAATGATAGAGTCCAGGTCAGGGTGAAGAGTGAGTGAGAACCCACTGACTGGGGCAGGGCACATCCAGGGCCAGTCGACTTGATGCCTTCCCCTGGCTTCTGTGCTGGGAACAGTGTCTGGCATCAGCAACCCCTGTGAGAGTGATATCCTTGTGACAGCCATTACCACTACTCTAAAGGGTTGTTGTGAAGGTTTATCAAGAGAACTGCTTGAAACATCCCTTTAAAAACTGTTATAATGGTGTAAATGAGAGCATAATATTATATAACTATGTAATAATATGAATGGAAATAAAATACTCTCTCGTGGAACTGGGAAAATGAGACTAGGCATTGAAATGAGACTTGCCGAATGAAGGTCACCCAGCTAAGCCTGGCTGGGAGAAGCACTCTTTGTCTTGGAATCCAAAATGTGGCTTTAGTACATCATTTAGGACATTTTTCTCTGGGGAAATCAGAGAAGGGGAGGAAGTACCCTAATGCCAAGGAAGTACCCTTGTGCTCCTATAGGAGTTCTCCGCTAGCAGGGAGCACAGCCTCTCTGGAGGCGCCCTGAGAGTTTGTGGATGCTGGAGGAGAGCAGGAGCTCAGATAGCTCTGGGCCCAACCCCCTCCTGCGACAGATGGGACGAGCACTCATTCTGTGTCAGGCTCTGAGCTAGAAATTATTTTACACATTATTTCATTTAACCCTCAAAACCATTCTGAGAGTGGTTGGGTTTTGGAACTTATTTGTAATTTTCTTTTATATTGAGTATATTTCAGTAAAAAGCAATTGTCACTAGTATGAAAGCTATCAGGATCTAGATATTGCTATTCCCATTTTTACATAAGGAAATAAAAACTCGGAGAGGTGAAGGTGCTTACTCAAGGAATCAGGAGTTGAATCAAGCTTCACCCAACTCTAGGTCTGTCCTCCCATAAGTCCCATCCCAACTTCCCCTTACTGCCTGCCTGACACTTCCCTGACTACACCACCAGAAGTTGCAGACTTTAGGTTTTCTCTCATCTCTACATTTTTGTTACTTAATATGATAGAATCAGCATCATTTGGGAACTTGTTAGAAATGTGAACTTTAGGCCCCATCCCAGACTACTGGATCAGAACCTCAATTTTAACAAGATCTTTGGTGATATGTATGTGCACTGAAGTTTGAGAAGCTCTGCTCTTCATCAAACCCAATCTTCTGTTTCTTCCCCATTCTGTCCCATGGTGAAGATTTACTGGTGGGTGAGGTGATCAAAAGGTCAGCTCATTTCAAGAGACCTAACTGAGGAGATAACTCATAATGCTTCCTGGATCTCATCAGCTTATAAAATTCTATTCTAGGCCCTAGCAAAATTTTACAGTGGAATATGAGACAGTTTGTGAGCCTATAGGAAATAGTTTGATGGTTAATATTTGGAACCCACTATGAATTTACTATAAGAAAAAAAATTTTCCAAATTCATTACATTTTTTCATGAAAAATAATTAAAATTTGTTATATCAAATTGATTTTAAAGAATCTTGAGCAATTATGCCATTGAGATATTAGTGGAACCATAGTTGAATTGACTCAAGGCCTGATAAATGATTACATAAGTGACTGGGCAGGTTTCTCTGTCATCCAGTCTGGGGTCAAGTCTGTATTAAATCTTGGGGCTCTGTCTCCAACTTTCTCCTGGACAAAATGATTATTGGTGACTTTGAATACATGAGGGGCTTTCAACTTGAAATTCTTATCACTTAGTAAAGCTGTAGCTCTTGGCAGATAGATTGTTTTCTATATAATCAGACCCTATTATAAATGGATTTAGTTAGTTCAAGAAAGATTGTAGAGAAGCACTGAAACAGATGTATTCCCTTTGAGTCAGGTTAGAAAATTTACCCTCACAGACAGTGTGGACCAAGGAGAAGGCTGTGCTAGAGGTCCATTCACCCACCTCCATCTCAATGCAGGCAATAGGAGGCATTGCCTGGGTCCTGGTGCTTGCTTCTAATTGTTTCCTCAGCACATCAGCTATTCTCTCTGGCAGTACCCCCTTTTCTTTCTGCCTTGGGGTTGTGTTCCTGGTCTGGTTCCTGATACCCCAAAGGTGGACATTGGCTTCTCCTTCCCCTTCCCAGCCTTAGACACGCTCTCAGATTTGCAGATGGCTCCAAGCTTAGCATGGTTATAAAAATGATGACCATAAAAATTCAAAATGATCTTGACAGTTTGGAATTCTACACTGAAAGCAATCAGATAGGGATAAAGGTGAAGACTCCAGGTTTAAAAATTCAGTGTCATGAAGGAACTTTTGGGCAGTGTGATGAGTAGGTTCATTATATTGATTTGGCTATGGTTTCATGAATAGGTACACATATGTCAGGGCCAATAAAATGAAATATTTTAAATATGTGTAGTTTATGTATATCAGTTATACCTCAAAAAAGCTGTTTTTAAAATGTAGACAAATAGAGGGAATCTGGCTTGACTGCAGCACTGTTGAGAAAGGTTGGAGGTTTTAGTCACTATATTTGTAATTTGACCTTAAATAAATGTGATTATTTTTGCTAAAAATAGTTATGGAAACACAATGTCTAGATGCAGGTAATGTGAATATCTCCCTGTACTCTGTTCTGCCTACATAATTTATAAAGTGTTGTGAGCCAGGCTCCCACTCTTGAGTGACCAGGAGTCAAGATTTGGAGCTTAAGTTGGAATTTCAATTATTTGGGTTCTTCAATTATTTGCAGTCCAGTTCTTGATGATTATTAGTGGTATTAAAAAAAAAACAAAAAAAAACTAACTTTAAAAATGCTGTTTTGTGTAATCAACAAAAATTGTGTAAAAATAAATTCCTGTAATCAGAACCTTGCGATTGTTTAGTGTTCCATGCCATGGAACATCGATCACATGTACCTAAATGATAAAGTAAATGTCTTTTGTATGACTAAACTTCTCATACTGAAAAAAATAACTTGTATAAAATCATCCATTGTTTAAAAAAGGTATAAAAGTATAAAATAATTTACAACACATTACATTCAGATCTTCACTCTTGAAGTGTGTCTGTCTGTCATTTCTGTGCCAAATCCTTGACCGCCTAGCTCAGTCTCTCATCCCTGGGTCAGCCTTGCTAATCTGCCACTGCGCCGGTCGGCAGCACCTTCACATGCTTGTCATGGAACAAAATCCTGACTTGAGACAGATGGGAGAAATTCATTGCTCTCTATCGCCAGGGATTAGAGATTCTACTAGGTTGTCAAGGTCCCGAGTGTTCTTTTCTGCTGGGATGAGTACTATTGACAGATGACCTCAAGCAGGACACACTCTGGCAGAGTTATGTTGGACTGTGCATTCTGAGCCATACTAGGTATGCAGATGTCATTTGACTCTTTTTTTAATTGCTTCTCTGGCAACTTGTGGTATTCTCAGGACTTAATGCATGTAGGTTATAAATCTGTAGTTGCTAAATTAAATTGAAGGATTATATGCAGAATGCAGTAGTGTCTGTCACATTGAGTTCACTTGAAAATATCTGCTAAAACGAGTGTTATGGTTGGCAGGGACTTTTGGAGGCCCAACAAGCCCCTTATTTTGAAAAGTGGGAATCTGAAGCCTGTCTAAGACAAGGAGGGCTCATGGAACCACTACCCAAATCTTAGTCTCCCAAGAGCCAGTGCACTATCCTTTCCACTGTGGCCTCCAATCACCTCTTTTCTCCCTCCACTTCCAGCCTCGTTAACGTTGTGTGCCACACCTGCTTCAAGAGGCAGGAGAAGCTCCACCGCTGTGGGCAGTGCAAGTTCGCTCATTACTGTGACCGCACCTGCCAGAAGGATGCTTGGCTGAACCACAAGAATGAGTGCTCAGCTGTCAAGAAATGCGGGAAGGTGCCCAATGAGAACATCAGGTAAAAGCTAGCCCTAGGGGTAGTGCATGGGATCCCCAAATGTCAAATCGGGGTGGTACTAATGATAGCATTGCCAGACCCGGGGAAGTGAGGCTGAGTGCAAATCAGGAAAGAGCCTCAAAGAGACTGGATGTGGTTACTTCTTCCATGAACTCCCTTTGAGTCTGGAATTCTGTCTCAGAGGGAGAACTGGGTGTCTACAGCAGTGCTGCAATCCCTGAAGCTGGCTCTATGTTTGTTCTGTAAATGCTGTTCCCGAACATTTACTTAAAAAAAATTGATCTGCCAATGTTTAAAATTTGGGAAAATGCACATTTGAAAACATTATGAGTTGGCAATTATGGAGCTAAAGGAACCCTTTTACACTGTTTGTGAGAATGTAAACTGATCCAGCCCTTGTGGAAAGCAGTGTGGAGGTTTTTCAAAAGATTAGAATTATGACCCACCAATTCTATACCTAGGTGTTCACTGGAAGAACACAAATACACTAACCTGAATGGAAACTTGCTCCCTTCTCCACCTTTACTTCCTCCCCATTCCTTGCTTCCTGTGTTCCAGCCATCTTGGCCTTTTTGCTGTTTTTTCATCAAGCCAAACTTATTCCTGGTTTAGGGCCTTTCTGTTTGCTGTTCTTCCCCTAACTGCACAGAGCTGGCTTCTTCTATTCATTCCACTTTCAGCCCAAAGTTGCCTCTCTGTGTCATTCCCCCCATCACCTTGACTTCCCCTCCCCACCTACTCTATCACGCTACCCTATTTTATTTTCTGCCCAGCACTTAATACTAGGTTAAATTATCTTTTAAACTGTAATACAATAAGAAGCGTCATGATAGATGTTCTATCTAATTAAATACTCTGTCTTGGGCCTGACCCTGTGCCTAGCATGCTTGGGGTACTTGGTAGGTGTTGAATGAATGAATGCAGTGGGGCCTCACTAACCCTGCCCCTCCTCACAGGCTGGCTGCGCGCATCATGTGGCGGGTAGAGAGAGAGGGCACCGGGCTCACGGAGGGCTGCCTGGTCGCCGTGGATGACCTGCAGAACCACGTGGAGCACTTTGGGGAGGAAGAACAGAAGGAGCTACGGGTGGATGTGGACACTTTCTTGCAGTACTGGCCGCCCCAAAGCCAGCAGTTCAGCATGCAGTACATCTCCCACATTTTTGGCGTGGTATGATTGCTCATAAAGTGGGGTGGGATAGGTGACAGCTGGAATTGTCCAATTAAGAAGTTTTCAGATGCTACCAGGCCAAAATGGGGAAAAGAGAGCAAGAGAAGGACTGGAGGGGTGAAAAGCCCAAATGGAAGAACGGGAATTCCATTCTTTGGGCTTTCTCTGGCCTTGTTTAGTGTGAGGTTATTCCTACCCCATTTGAAGTTGGCATCCCTCCACCATTCCCCCCACCCCATCCCAAAACTGTTCCTTATCTCTTAATGGTAGCTTTGGATAGTAAATACCTTCTTGTTTATCTGTATTTTATACTTTTTCTTCTCTCTACATTGAGAACAAAGACCCAATCACTATCCCCTTGCTTTGAAAATAAGATCCATCTGATAGGCAGGACAGTGGGCAGCCTGGAGCAGTGGGTGTGGAAGCCTTGGAGAGGAGCTTTGGGGCAGTGCTGCCTTGGAGCAACATAGCCGGGCCCTCACAGCCATGTGAGTGTAAGAGGTGGGAGTGGGAGCATGTGGGCCAGCAGGCTCAGGCCTTGGGTTCTAGAGATAGAGGTCTTCTGGCAGGGAAGGCCTTTCCTGGTGCTGGTGAGTAGGCTGAGAGGGAAGTTATTGTAATAACAATGGCACTATCATACTCAACATTGCTCAAACCCTTCCCATGTACCAATCCTTCTTTAATAAAGTTCTCCAGAGAAGCAGAACCAGTTGGATGTATGTATATAAATGTATTTATCTAGCGACCTAGATATCTAGGTATTGATCAATCGATGGATAGATTTTTTTTTTTAAACAATTTGATCTCACAATCAGGGAGGCTTGGTTCATTCAAAGTCTGCTAATAGTCTAGTAGGCTGGAGACCCTAAGAAGAGTTTTGGTTTGAGTCCAAAGGCAGAATTCCTTCTTGCTCAGGCCTTCAATTGATTTGATTAGGTCCACCAACTTAACAAGGAACAATCTGCTTTACTCAAAATCTATTGATTTAAATGTTAATCTCATCCAAAAAGGATGCATACAAAATAATATTTGACTAAATATCTGGACCCTTTAAGAAGACACATACAATTAGCCATCACAGTTCCCTGTGTAATATTTTATGCAACTTTTACAATATAAGCTGAAGTGTATGTTTTTAACACCCTATTTCATAGATAGAAATCCCAGGCCTAGAGAAGTTATGTGATTTCCAAAGGCCACACAGTGAGTGGGTATCCAAGGAAGGATAGGAAGCAGCCTGTTTGGTGCAAGAGTTGCCACTTTTCACAGTTACATGTCCCAGGTTTGGAGTGAATGCATGTCCTAGTTCAATCCTGGCTATTCCTAAGGCAACCTGGGCTGCAGCCACAACATGGTTTACTCACCAAGGTTTAGACAGTATCCTTAGAAATCATCCAGTCCAACTTATTTAACCTGCAGATGGGAAAACCAGGGCTCAGAGAAGAAAGAAACTCAAGGTACCACAGCTTGAATGGTCTGTGGTATCAACAGACTTAACTTTCTGATTGACTGATGACTGATGAGATTGAATGGAGAAACTCACACTTCTCCAGAATCTATAACAAATAACCACGTGAGTGCATAAATGCATTTTGTATTATATTATATATTAGTGTATATATTTCAATATCAGAAATATTCATGCAGTTGTTAATGTATTCTAAGTATATTTCTCCTTAAGCATTTTTCTTACCCTGAGAGCAGATACTTGGACTGTCTCTATAAATAATAACTTATTTTTTAAAGATTTATTTATTCATTTATGTGTACAAGAAATGGGGTACAAGCCAGAGGTGGGGGGGTGTGTGAGAGAATTCACCAGAGACAGAGTGGGGAGCAGGCAGATTGACTGAAATACACTGCTGAGGGGAGCAGAGGGTGAGTCAGGAGAGGTCTGCTGCACCATGTGGGTATCTCCCTGCCCGGGGATCGAAATTGTGCTGCAATGGCTGCAAATAGCTTCATAGGTTGTGTCTTAACCCATTGCACCACCAGAGAAGCCCAAGAATAACTTATTTTTAAAGAAAAGAAAATCAGTTGAGTGCCATATAGTAATAACCTTTTAATTTGATTTACCTTTCATTTAGAGATATTATATTTTGTGCTCACCAGACACAAAATTATCAAAAAGCTATATCAATTTTATTTTATAAGGAGCTATAAAAATTGAGTGTGGGTAGGCAAAAGAAGCAGGGGACACACATACACAGAGTAAGGTAGGACAGGGCATGGAGATAGACAACAATACACATACCACCGAAGACTCGTGTGAGACACAGATACAGGAAAAGGGAGCAACTTGTTAGAACAAACATTTCTATCTTTAACCTTTTTACAACAGCTACCAAAAATTTTCTAAGTGGCATTTTCTATAAATATGGAACTCTCTTAAGTGATCATTCTTTTTTTTTTTTTTAAGATTTATTTACTTATTTTTGCATAGAAGAACTGGAGTGTAGGCCAGAGGTGCAGGGGGTAAGAGGATTCACCAGAGACAGAGTGGGGAACAGAACAGGCCAATCTACTGAAATACACTGCTAAGGGGAGCAGCTGGCAAGACAGGCGAGGTTTTCTGCGCCATATGTGGGTCAGCTCCCTGGCCAGGGATCAAACGCAGGCCATGGCAGTGATAGTGCTGAGACTTAATCCCTAAGCCACCAGGGAGGCCCTTAAGCTATCATTCTTGAGGATCATTTGAAGTCACATAGAATACAAAGACTGTTTTGTTCCCAGGCTTTCTAAATATTTCCAGGATGAGACCTGGTTGTCTATTTTTAAAAAAGATATCCAACAGCTAGGATAGTATTCTGTCCCTGGACTATGTATGTAAGTTGACTCTTTCATCTTTCCCTCTGAGTAGATTAACTGCAATGGCTTCACACTCAGTGATCAGAGAGGCCTACAGGCAGTGGGTGTGGGTATCTTCCCCAACCTGGGCCTGGTGAACCATGACTGCTGGCCCAACTGCACCGTCATATTTAACAATGGCAAGTAAGTATGTTTTGAGCTGGGGGTGGTGTGGTGGGGTGGGAGTCGTGGTGTTCTCTCTACTTGGCTTAAAACCAAAGGCAAAATGTTGAACCTGAAGAAGCATGCATTTCAGATGCGCAGCAAATGGGCAGAAATTTCATTCTAGAATTGTGAAGCAGAGAAAAGTAATGACTAGACTGGCAAAGAATTCCACAAGGATCATCTCTTAGCTTTTGCATGTTTGTTGAGGCTGCCTGGATATTAGATAAACCTCCACTACTGTTGTAAAACTTGAAGTCTGGAGTTATCATCTAGAGGTCATGCAGGTCAACATCAGCCTAGAAGGTACCTGACAGGAATATATATTAGTCAACGTCCCAGCAGAAATCAGAGAATTTAATTAAAAAGACAAGTTACAGAGTGTAGTAGAGATTAAGGAAATAAGGAATGAGGTAGTATCCAGGGTCTAGCAACAGCATGCAGTCATTACCATTTCTAGACTTGCAGGGGCCATTGGAGGAAGTACTGTTTCTACAACTGGAGAGAGCTGGAGCCATGGCGAAGGACCCTCCCTTCCCACCACCCAACAGCTTGACTGTTCTTATAGCAAAATCAGCCTCTTTTGGAGCCATAGTGAGGCAGGGGGGGAGTGAGGAAACTATCCTAACCTCTCTCTGCTCCCACCTTCTGACCTCCCACCAATTGGCCAAACCCCAACCAGAAGCCAGAGAGCAGAGGAACCTGGGTGATGAAGCCCTCATAGCCCTCTGTCCCTCTGGGGACAGAGAAGCAAGAATGGATCTTGAAGTTGGGGCACAAATGGAGAAGAGTCAGCAAACAGCAGGAGCCCCTGGTAGTTGATAGAGCAGCCTGGGGGATTTGGGGAGTGAGGCCTGAGCAATATTATTTCTCTTGCTTTTAGAGACGGGCTCTTAGGACATATGCAAATCAACTCTGAGTTATCAATGATGAACAGTTTTCTCCCAAATTTCCTGGAAATGAAAGACAGTGGCTTCTAGTTGGTAGTGAAGAAACTAACCTAAACCTCCATAAAACAATGATTCAGATTTCCCTTTTTTCTTCCTATTTCTAGAAACAAGGACCTGTATGACAACAGATTGCCAAGCAATTGAGAAAGTTGGTCAAGATAGGGAGGTTTGTTTTGGGCCAGATGATAATCTTTCTCCAGCATCTGTATTTCCCTTCCTAAGCCTTGAGGGTCATGGTCTGGGTCTCATGGAATTTTCTCCAGAGAGTCCACTGTTTGGGCAGAGCCTGCTTATCAGAGAGCATCAAATTCAGTCACATATAGGGCTGGTCTTTCTCAATATTACCTGCCTAAGCGGTGGTGACCCAAGGCTCCTCGCATCACAGCTACAGGTGCCTGAGAACCCTTTATTCAGACCATCTCTGGTGTCTGCTCTGGCTTCTATGCCTCCATTAATTCTGAGCAACATATTTTGCAGGGTTTCTTGACTGTTGTGTAAGAGAAGGCAACTTTGTAGTCACCACCTAGCTGTAGGCCATGATGGAAAGAACACTGGACATGGTGTTAGGAGCCCACTTCTAACCCCAACATTTTACATACTCACATGTGTGACCTAACCAGTCTCCATATACAGCTCAAACTCTCCCCAAGATTGACGTCAAAGCCGCAGTGCTTATTTGGCCAGGTTGTTGTTAGTGAGATATTAACAGCATCTCATCTGTTTCTTAGCACACCACTTCTAAATGCACTGACTCATGACAGTCTCAAAACCAGGTTGTAGACGAGAACACTGTGGCCCAGGGAAGGGAAATAACTTTTCCATGACTGGTACTCAGAATTCCTCATTCTTAATCCAGTGCACTTTCTATTAGATCAGGCTGTGTCTTGTCGAGTGAGCACAGCACAGCTAGAAAGGGCTGGGATAGAGGTTGTTGTGATGGCCAAAACTTTGATAGAATAACCTGGAATGCTGTGCATCCAGCCTAGGCAATCAGCAAATAGAAATGATTTCCATTCAGGTGTCTGTTTTGTCTTTCAGTCATGAGGCAGTGAAATCCATGTTTCACACCCAAATGAGGTGGGTCAGTCATTCCAAGCATCCCTCCTCCTCTGACCCATCTCCCTCACTTGCCTGGTTTGCTGGGGCCACCCCTCCCCCAAACCCTTTGGCTATTGTCTGCCTGTAATAGCCTCTGCATCAAAGAGTCTTTGCTGAAAGTCGTATTTTTAATACATTTCTTGCATTTCAAATTAATCATTTTGTTCCTTACCCATCTGCATGTCTTTGCTTTACTGTTTTCCTTTCTTTCCTCTCCTTCACTACTTACATCTGCTACTCCTCCAACCTCAAAGCATAACAGTCCATTCTAGACCACATCATTAGTAAAAACCTACGTTTTCCCTCTGAATGCTGAAATGAAGACTGACCTACTAATACTACTGACCTACTAAGGACTGTGTATTTGTTTATAGTCCCCAATTTCTCACCAGATTGGGTTCTGCACACATCACCCATAACTGCTATATTTCTGATAGATAGTTATTCATAATTTAATTTAGTCATATTAATGTTTCTGACCAACTATGAATTAGTGGTGTAGTTTGACTTTTCTTAATGACAACCAAATGACCTCATCTGGGTCTTTTTCTTGAAATGCTCTTGGGGTTAAGAACATAATGCTCAGTGGGAGCTTGAGCTGGAGGAATGTAGGGGTAGGGGTGGTTGGTGTTGGCTCTGTGTTGGTGCATTTGTACAGTTCACATCAGCTCCTGGGTGTCTGATGCCACATCTGTGGGAGTGAAGGCCAAGATGAGACTGTCTCTTGGGATCTTCTTATTCTAAGTCTCTGTGGCTCCAGGCACTATTCCTAATCCCTGCAAGAAGTACTTAAACAACTTGTCTACTTGTGGCTCAATTACTCGAACTATAGAATTGCAGAGCTCTAGGGATGGAGAGGTCTGGGGTACAGAAGAGAGTGGTGGTCACTATCACTCCTTGATCCCCACTTCCAAGTTAGGTAAAATGGGGCTTTTGTCCTGAGCACATTCTGTATCTATTACATGGTAAAGTGCTATATGGAGGTAATTGGGGCCCAGGCAGGGAGGTATTTAAATGCCAGCTTCTTTAGCTGAGCACCTTCAACCAAAAAACCACATTCCCATTACACAAAAGTGAACAATGCAGTGGGCTGACATTGTCAGCTTTTGTTTATTTGTCTTCAGCGATCACCAGGCATAAGTCTCCTCACATAATGTAGCTCTGAACCTCTGCACCAAAGGTTAAGGTACGAAGCGGGCAAGATTGTGGGTAACTGAATATGTATGTTTTTAAGAGCAGATCCTAAACTAACCAGAAATGTCCACTGATTTTTTTTGAAGTTTTCACCTTATTATTTCTACCTTCCTTTGTTACAGACAATTAGTAGCTAAATATACAGGGATAATTGCAGGCAGAAAGCTATGTAGGGTTTTATGACCAAACGGAGCTCTCTAGCAGGAGCTGATTCCAGAGCAATTAACTAAAGGGAGCAGGTTTGATTGTTATAATGAGTACAGCAGAATTATCCAGAAAAGTGTCCTTCAGGTCAGTCTTTCTTTTGGGGGGAGAATGGGAGTCTTCTGAGTGCTAGAAGTTGTTGTCTTTGCTTTTCAACTTCTTAAGATCTCGAAGAGCACAAATCCTACTCTGATAGTCCTAGATTGATTGACTCTTTTCCTTTTACCCTGCTCCAGAATTGAGCTCCGGGCCCTGGGCAAGATCTCAGAAGGAGACGAGCTGACAGTTTCCTATATCGACTTCCTTAACATCAGCGAGGAACGCAAAAAGCAGCTGAAAAAGCAGTACTACTTTGACTGCACATGTGAACACTGCCAAAAAGGGCTGAAGGACGACCTCTTCCTGGGGGTAAAAGATGACCCGAAGGTATATGTCGTCCTGCAAGGCTGATCTGGGAGAGGGAGTTCAGTTACCAGGTAGCAGAGGATCTGATTGGAACAACCAAAAATGCAAGAGTTAAGTCTTTAATCACTTCTTGCAGTGGTCTAAGCAAAACACTGAAGCTGGAGCAGGTACTGACACCCCCTCCTCCATCTTCCCTCTTAGAATAGTGGGTGCACTGGTGGAACAGCAGGTGCATCAGCACAGATGTGGGGGATTGCCTTTTGCTTAAGGGGCCAGAAAAAAAGATCCCATTACTTTATAGATCCTGAGGTGGGATTAAGTTGAGGGTGAGGGGGAAGGACAGCGGAGTGGAAAAGTTCTGGGTACTGAGTCAGAGTATTGTCACACAGTTTTAGAGGCTGAAAGTCTGAGATCAAGGTGTGGGTAAGGTTGGTTCCTTCTGAGGACTCTCCTTAGCTTATTAACAGTCGTCTTCCTCCTGTGTGTCTTCACACATCGTCCCTATCTGCATGTCTCTTTTTTTTTTCTCTGCATGTCTCTTTATCTTCATCTCACGTTCTTTTTATAAGGATGTCACACCCTGGATAAACAGTCCTTCTCCAGTATAGCTTCATCTTAACTAGTCATATCTGCAGTACTCTATTTCCAAATAAGGTCCCTTTCTAAGTTACTGGGGGCTAGGACTTTAACATTTGAATTTGGGGGAAATTCAGCCCCAAATACTGTGTATGCTTCCATTTATGAAAATTAAAGGCAAACACGTGCTCACTCACAGAGAGCCATGCACTCACACATGTGTGCAAATACTGTCAGACTCTCTACAGACAGAAGTTTGAGGAGGAAGCTATGACCAATGGACCAGTGATGCCTGGTATAAAGAAATTGAGAGTCACCCCTCAGGCAGAGGACAGAGCAGCTGGGACCCAAGGATTAGCATGTTCTCTATAGAAACACATCCTTTTCACAGAATCAGGCATTCTGTTTTCCAGGAAATGTGTCCTGGCATGTATGTGTGAGGCACCAAGCACAGTACCGTAGGAGCTACAGAGAAGACTTAGCTGCAGACTCCACCCTCACCCTGACCTTCCAGACCTGCATGTTAACAGGTTTTGATCCAGCCTTCCTTCCTGGTGTTAAGCCTGAATATTTGTTTTGTCACTTTTCTTCTGGTCTTTGAAAAATTTTCTTCAAAATTTTCTTCAAAATTTTAGTGGCTTTATAGGAACTAGCTACTTAATTGTGGTACTTCCTTGCTACAAATATCAAACTTCATTTTTTTTTATAAGTTCACTAGACTGCTTAGGCAAATACAGGAAACCTAATGAGTCTAGAGTTAACAGAAATGGTAGACAGTTTCTCTAATGATATCCTTTTGGTTGAGACAAGGAAATATGAACTAAATGCTAAGACTCTTGGAAGGATTTCAGTGAAATCCAGTGGCAAACTGGTATATGATTTTCTTTTTTTTGTCAAGTTCTTGGCCTCTGTCCTCAACCCTGTACTGGTCAGTAATTAAATCAATGACTTGGTATAGAAAAAGCTGCAAGGGCATACCTGTAGAATAATGGTTGACTTGAAGTAAAGAGAAAGAATGGCAGATATTTTGGGTGATAGAATGAAAATCCAAAATGCCAGAGAAAATACAACAGGGATCAATATCAGATTCTGCACTGAGGTTCAAAATCCCAGGCATGAGCACACAACTGGCAGGCAGCTAGACTCAGGGGCTTGGTCAGTGGAGAATACAAGAGTCAGAAGCAAGATGAGGGAGCTGGGAAAGTTACAGGAACTTTGAGCTACATTTGCAGAGATGAAGTATCCAGAAAGGGGCAGGCATTGGTCTTGTGTTATATTGAATATCAAAAATGGCAGGAGTTCAAAGATGTAATGGATTTCCTTGTCAAACTGTCTCAACTCAACATCCCTCCTTTCTCCAGCCCTCTCAGGATGTGGTGAAGGAAATGATACAATTCTCCAAAGATACACTGGCAAAAATTGACAAGGCTCGTTCTGAGGGTTTGTATCATGAGGTGAGAATTCATTTTTATAAGGGATGAGGGAGGGGTGAATACAAAGGAGGATGGAAGGGAATAGGAGTAAGGATGGAGAGGCTACTAAACAGGTTTATTTTTGTGGAAGATGTTCCTTGGGTGAGACCATGATCCTTCTTGCCTTTCAATCTTTGCACCTCTTACGGTATTTTTTAGTGATTTTTTTTTAACCCACTGATACTGAGTCTGAGGAGCACAGACAAATGTCCCTGGAGGATTTGTGGTATCTCAGGTTGGCATCTGAGACAGAGGAATGGAGATGGCAGTGGAACATACTAGGATTGGGCTGCTCACTTTCCCATATTTGAATGAATGTTCTCGCTTTGGGTTCTAGGCTCTACAAACTGAGCTTTCAAAGCTGGCTCTTGAAGCACCAGGAGTTCTCAACTGCCTTTCCACTAAAATTTTTTTAAAATCCTGATGCTCAGACCCCAACCCAGGCCAATTTCACCAGAATCTCTTGGGTGGGACCCAGACATCAGGCTTTTTTTTTTTTTTAAGATTTATTTATTTATACAAGCACTGGGTACAGTCAGAAGCGCGGGAGGGTGAGAGAGAATTCACCAGAGCTAGAGCGGGGAACAGAAAAGACAGACAGATGAAATACACTGCTGAGGGGAGTAGCTGGCGCAGCAGGAGAGGTCTGTGCGCCATGTGGGACCCTTGCCCGGGCCGCTGGGGATTGAACTGGCTCTGCAGAGGCTGCGGGCAGCTTGGCAGCCCAGCGCTCAACCGATGCGCCACCAGTGAGACCCCCAGACATCAGGCTTTAATTTAAAGCTCTCAATAATTTTAACATGCAGCCAAAGTTGAGACCCACTGCCGAACACTGATGTGCAAAGTACTTGTATTGAATCACCTGGGCAGCTTGTTGGAGATACAAGTTTCTGTGTCTCACCCCCAACCCCCAACACAAAGATGTGATCGGTGCAATCTGCAACAGAACAGGAGTGAAATATTGACAGATATTTTGGGTAATAGAATGAGAATCCCAAAATGCCAGAAAAAATCACTTCTTGGCCTTTTGGCTAAGCTAAATTGCAAGATGCCAGAGAAAATACCTGCCTCCTACCCCCAGGCTCCTTAGCAACTCTGATGTACAGAGTTGGTTTGGATGCCACCAGGGCATGACAACGTGGGAGGTTAATTTCTGTTTCTATCTGCTTTCCCATTCTATCCTTTCTCCTCCTTTGCTCATTCATTTATTGTATATTTTGGGGCCCTGACTGGGGTAACCAACACGAGACTTGCTCCTTGTTCCTAGTAGTTCTTTCAGGTGGGGGAAAAATCACATGAACTAAACATTATTGTACAATATGGAAAATCTATGACAGGCACAGGTAAGAGCTGGAACAATCAGGAGGTCTCCACTGCTTTCGTTCCGCTGCCTTCTCTCGTCCTCTCCATTTCTTCCTCTTCATTCACACTTGCCGGGGCCAAGTGTAGGACTGGACACCAGCCCATGGGTTTAGGAGGACTATACCCAGGTGGATTGACTGCCACACCCTCACCCAGTGGCCTCAGGGAAAGTCTCAGGGAAATTAGATTCCACTCATTTGAAATGGAAATAATTATGTGACATTTCTCCCTTGAGAGCAGCAAGGGACAAAGAGAACAACTAACAAAGAAAATCTAGAGAGCATCTGACTTTCTGGGATGCAAAAAGCCTGTATCTATACATGAATAAGTTGGAAAAGCCTGACTCCAAGCTGGCTGGACTCAGGCTCCTCCATTCCCCACCCCCCAGGGCAATGTGGCATCCTCCTGCTGGGTCTCCCAGCCTACCAGCCCATTCATCACCTGCACTTCCAGCAAAGCATGGTTGGCCAGCCTCTCAGATACTTAGTTTCAACTGGTCTGGGATAAGACCCACACCTGCTTATTTTTAAAAACTCTGTAAGTGATTCCAAAGCACAGGTAGTGTGGAGAATCATGGGAATGGTGGTTAAGATAAGGCCTGAGCACTTGGTTTGAGTCCTTGTCCCATTGTTCACTCACTGCCTGTGTTGACTGTAATAAAGCACATGTGCCCTCTCTGTGCTTGTTTCCTGATTTGGTAAAATGGGAATATTAGTGTCTGTCTTATTACATTGTTGTGAGAGTAACACATACATGACTATATGGTACGTACATACACATTTGTGTATAGGTAGTTTTCATAAATCCCTGTGCATTCTGACTTACTCTGCCATGTCACACTTACTCTTTTTACTCCTACATTAGCCATATAGGACCATTTTGCTATTCACATCACAAACAGGTGCTTTCCTACTGCTCTCAGCTTGCTTCAGCCTTTAAAGAATGAGTATCTAATGTCACTGTAATGCTCCCATATGTGAATTAAGCATGTGCTCTGATGTAAGGGTAATGGACAGGCCTGTGTTTCCTTTAGGTTGTGAAATTATGCCGGGAGTGCCTGCAGAAACAAGAGCCAGTGTTTGCTGACACCAACCTCTACATGCTGAGGATGATGAGCATTGTTTCAGAGGTCCTCTCCTACCTCCAGGCCTTTGAGGAGGCCTCATACTACGCCAGTAGGATGGTGGATGGTTACATGTAGGTGATGGACTCTGGGTATCAGATAATCTCCTGGAAATGCGTTGATTCTGGAGATGGCTAACAGTTGGCACACGTGTTGCTTCCTCTCCCTCCCAAACCCACTGCAGGCATTTGAAATGGATTGTGGTTCTCTTGATGACTAAGCCTTTTTACCATGGTATTTTGAGTAGTAATGACCAAATAATTACAGCTGGTACCTGAGATGAAACCTATTTGTCATGGCTAGGGTTTCCTAAATCTTACAGCTCATCTGTCATCTTCTGTCTTGGTGTCCTTAAGGCTAAGTCCAGATTAATTTTAAGTACTTGAAAAGGGTTTTTCTTCCTAACAATCAACACAGGCAATCTTGTGAATTTTATTTTATTAAAAAAAAAAAGTATCAGTCATCATTGCTTATGAATTATAAAATGCAAATCCTTTGCCTTCTCTATGCTAATGTCCTCTCTTGCCTTCTTTGTTTATATTGGCATGTGAGTTTGTATTTCTGGCCAAATTAGTAAGTTGGCACAAGAAAGTTCCTTTTTCCTTTTTCTGAGAGATGTTACTCATGAAGAAAATGTGGGACAACTATGCAACACGCTCAAAGGAAGCCCTGTTAGTTAAAAGATGCACAGTTCTATCCCAAGAAAAACATTCAAGTCATTTTTTTCAACGTGAACTTCCTGTGGCTTCCCAGGGAGAGGTCTGGGATACTCCCAAGAGTCCCAGATTCCTGTCCTCCAGTTCAGAGGATGATTCTGGCCCCCTTTTCCCATGGCACTTGACTTGGTGTCACAGGTCAGCGTCTCAGCTCTTGCAGTCTCACTGTGTGGGGGTGTTTAGCATCTCACTGCCTCTCATTTCCCCTAGATAGACTGCAGATGCGTCAGCTCTGATAGGAGGAACAAATGAACTTCATTGATGAGAGCACTTTACCAGTTATCAAATGCTGTGCAGACATTAGGATGGTTGGGATTATATTGTGATTATTTGCTATGCCCCTACAGGAAGCTCTACCACCCCAACAATGCCCAACTGGGCATGGCCGTGATGCGGGCAGGCCTGACCAACTGGCATGCCGGTAACATTGAGGCGGGGCATGGGATGATCTGCAAAGCCTATGCCATTCTCCTGGTGACACACGGACCCTCCCACCCGATCACCAAAGACTTAGAGGTGACTAGCATTGCGGGACTGGGTCTCTGTCTGGGCTGAGCAATCTGAGGATGAGATTTGAGAAAGCTAACTTTCTATCTAGTATTTTAAGCTTATCAAATGCAGAATCTTCGTCAGTCTTATTCTCTACTGTATCCTCAGCCCCTGAATGATCCTGACCTTTGATAAGTATTTCTTGCACGAAGATATGAAAAGACGAGGGCTTTTGTGTGCGTCACACACTATAATCTCCCTGGACTATTGTAAAGGACAAAGGAATCACATCCACTTCATGTGTAAGGAAACCGAGGGCTGAATGGATAAAGTCACCTGACTATGATCCCACAAACTTAGGTGGGATTTTACAGAGACCACAGTTCAAATCCAGGTCCCCACTGACCAGATCCTGACAACAAACATTCTCTATGGAGAAACAATCCTTCAAGCTTGTTTCTCAGAAGTACAAGTCCTTCTCCTTAACAAACCACGGCAACTGCAAGGACATTAGGCCCCCAGTGGATGAGTGAGTGTGTGTGTGTGTGTGTGTGTGTGTGTGTGAGTGTGTGTCTTCTGAGGGTGTAGTTGAATCACAGTGACTGAGAGTCATTTACCCCATTGTCTATGTGCTGGGGACTTGTCACTGTTTATGGTGTGTCTGTATCCCACAGGCCATGCGGGTGCAGACGGAGATGGAGCTGCGCATGTTCCGCCAGAATGAGTTCATGTACCACAAGATGCGTGAGGCCGCCCTGAACAATCAGCCCATGCAGGTCATGGCAGAGCCCAGCAAGGAGCCAGCCCCAGCTCTGTTCCACAAGAAGCAGTGAGGACTCACCGCGGGGGAGGGGCAGTGTGGCTGGAGACCTGGGCAGAGATTCTGGAGGTGGGTTTCCGGGGAGATCCTTGATGAGGCAGTCAGGGTAATGCTCAACCTTGTTGCTGTGGGAACATACTGTTCTGTGTTCCCCATTGTCATTTGGATTCACTTCACTCAGTTCAGTTCAATTTAGCTCTATCTTAGCCCAGCACAGCCTAACTTATCATACAGATATTTATTGTGTGCTAGGCCCTAAGATAAAGATGCTGCAAATATAGCAGGGCAGACAAAACATAATGAATTAAAGCACAGTGTAATAATAAATGAAGTGGTAGACTATATGCGCAGGGTTGTGGAGAAGGGTGTGTGTCTGGTGTGTGAGCGGTGTGTCATGAAGGAAATAACATCTGAGTTTCAGGTGGTAGGTGCTTGGAGTTTCAGGTGGCTGTTCATCCATCTGTGCAGGTATCTGTGGGGCTTATGGTCTCACGCGTGGTCTGGACTAGAAGTGGCCCCTTTATCCTCAGGTTAGTGTAGAGTTATGAAGAAGGGACTGTGTTTGGACCACTTAGGTTCTACTCAAAGAGCTGAAACCTCTTCAGAAAAGGGGGCTTTGCCCAAACCACCCGAGGCTGCAGTTAAAGGTCTAGGTTTGCAGGATAATTTTGAAAATATTTCTAGAACACAGAGAGGAAGTGTCTCTCCCACTATCACCTCACAAACCTTGTGATTACCGGTGATGTGAGGGTCACTTGGACAACATCTGAGATTTTTCTGTCTATTGGCCGAGTAAGAGCGAGGAAATCTTTTCAGGGTGAAGCTGAGAGAGAAACAAGGAAACATACACACCTGATGACCACAGGTCCAGCAGAATTGGCCTTTGGGGGATTGATTTTGTTACATGGTGGTTTTTACTAGTGTAGACTTCATCATCAGACTCCATTAAATCTCTATTCTTAGTAATAAAAAATTAAGATTTTAATGTCTTTTATTGTCCATATTCTGGGGCCTCTGCTCTTCTCCCCAGAAGGAATATCTAATTTGTACTCTGCACATGTGTCCAGGACTTCTTAGGGTGTGTGACCAACTTGCCTTTATATCCTGGGAGGTTTCTGGGGTTTCCACCCCAGAGTGAGTGTTTTGGGAATCAGCCAATATAGTTGTTATGTTGTCTTGTCGTTTTCTGGGACTGCAAACATCTCACCAATGTTTTGGCTGATCTTAGAGAACAGTCCTTCTTTTGGGGTGTCACCAAAAGTTCTACATCATCTGGGGCTACTCTTAACTCTAGTTAAGATCTTGAAGTCAAGTGATCCCACTAGGCCTCATATTTTTCATCTGCGCCTCTACCTCCTATCTTTCAATCCTCAGAATGACCCACTGCCTTTCTCTGAACACTTTCCAGTGCTTCAAAACTGCAAATGTGCCACCTCTTTGTTCAATATTTATACCTTGAACATAGCTCTTCTTGGAGGAAATCCCCATCTCAAGAAGTTTTCACAGATAGACTGATAGTTGTTCCAAGTCCCTATACTACAGGCCCAGGGATGGCACCTGCATTCTCCCAAGCACCCATTTGAGTGAGCACATTCAAACAATCATTCCTCTATCTCCCCTCAGACCTTCTTCCCTTTTTTGTCACTGCTGTCTGCCAATCAACTGGTCATCCCCCGTCCTGCCCCTCCCCCCTGCCCCTACTGCAATTTGTGGTCTTGCTTTCCATTCCTTTCTGCCTCAGTTTGTTATCTTTGATGTCCATTCACACAAGCCATCTCACACTCTTGCTTCAGGATGTTTTTATATTCAATTTCTAAGGTCGGAAGGACTCATGAGTCTCCAGATTCATACACTCTCTCACAGCTACACCCTGCACTCTGTCATAATTTCTCCATTTTTGATATCTAACTCCTGGTCATTGCTTCCTACCTTTTCACCTCTCTCCATTTCCCCTCCCACCCCAAATTACTACATGATGTGATGTTATCTCTGGTGTTTCCTCCTGGCTTTACTTCTCTCCAGATAAACCAGTTCATCAGCCCTTCTTCCTTCCTGCCAGCAGAGTCCCCACCCTGCATTCATTCAGCTGTGTTGTTTTCCCTCTGCTGCACCAGGAGGTGCTGAGCACAGCCAGGGTAAACAGTGTCTCTGTGAACAGGGCCTTGGGTGCACCTCAACCTCACCTGGCCTTGGGTGCACCCAGAAATGCTTCAGTGTGCCCCTTGTTGCTCTTCTCTTATCTCCCATGGCTTCCCTTCTGTCCCCAAGTCCTCTGCTTTCATCTGTTTCATGGAAAAAACAAAGACCAGAAGATGGGATTCCCTCAATTTCTTCTTCCCACAGTGACACAAGTTGTGCTGTTCTCATCCTTCCTGCCCTCTTTCTTTCTCAGACGAGTGGATGTGCAAGCCCAGCTCCTCCTACAAAGCTAAACTGTGCTCTGGGCCCCACCCCTTCTATGTCCTCAGGGTTTTCTCCACCTGGGATTCTTGACATTTCTCCATCTACTGGCTCCTTCAGTGCAGTCAAGAAATGTGGTGGGGGACCCTTTGACTATGAACTCTGCAGCTGAGTATGTCTCTATTTTTCACAAGGATTTGTCTTTCATAGTTATTATCTGCCTTCTTCACTTTCCATTTCTTCTTGAACCCTCTGCAGACTGGCTTCCTGAACTCCACTAAGATGGCTCTTACCAAGGTTAACTCCAGGGGTTATTTTTCAGTCCTTGATTTGGCTTCTTCATGTCAGTTGACACACCCAGTCTTGATTTCTGTGACCCCCCGCCCCACTTCCTTGTGATGATCCCCTGACGTGGTTTCTCAGACTCCTTCACTGGCCAACTTTCTCTCTCTCTCCCTGAGATGCTGGCATTTTCTGGAGTTGGTTTTGCTGACCCCGGCCTTTCTTGGTCATGCACTCTCTCTGCAGGAGCCCAGCCAGGCCCTCTGTTGAATCACCACCTTGAGCCTCATATTCTTAAATCTGTAGTCCAAACTTGTGCTTGAGTTCCTGCCCCATACACTCACCAAGACATTCTGCAGGTGCCTCAAACTTTCTCTTTCCTTTCCCCCCTGCCCCATCTCTCTTCTTCCTCAGTGCCCCCCACCCCCAGAACAGCTGACTCCTGCTGTGTTTGCTTTGGAGTCTCTGCAATTAAATGCTTCAGTCAGAACCATGCACTCTTAGTCCCTGAGTGGCCTGTGTTCTGTCTGCCTCCCTTTGAATTTTGAAACATTCTATCCAAAATACCTGCAACCTGGTCAACTCTTGTTGACCTTTCAACACCCAGTTTGAGATAACCTCTTCTGGGCAGACTTCCCTGAATGTGTTAGCATCCATTGGCAGCCTCTTGGAGTCCCCACATTAGCGGTGCGCCCCCCCCCTCAGAACTCTCTCCTGGTGTCATCATAATTGCCTTTCACATGTCTGCCTCCTCCATGAGATTGTGAACCTCTGGAGAGCATGAGCTGTGTCCCTTCACTCATCTTTCTCCAGAGCCTAGTATAGGTTCTGGAACATAGTAGGTGCTCAGTAATGTGTGTTGAAGGAAGGAATGAACAAGTGAATGAATTTGCTTATCTCAGAGCAGAAAAGGCATGAGAATGTCTATTTGGAGTTTTTATGTTACAGCTATCAACAAAGGCCATTAAAGCCTCTGTGTTTCCAAGAAAATATGTGTGGCTTTTTTCTTTCTGGTGATCTTTTTAGAACTGTGCTAAGTGGACTTTCTTTGATGATGAAAATGTGTCTGTGCTGCCCAATACAGTAGCAACTGGTGACATGTCACTATTGAGCACTTGGGTGTGTCTAGTATGATTGAAGAACTGAATTTATTTATTTTTTTAAAGATTTATTTATTTATGCATACAAGAACTGGGGTACAGGCCAGATGTGCAGGGGGTGAGAGGATTCACCAGAGACAGAGTGGGGAACAGAACAGGCAGACTGACTGAAATACACTGCTGAGGGGAGCAGCGGGCAAGACAAGAGAGGTCTGCTGTGCCATGTGGGCTGCTCCCTGGCCAGCGGGGATTGAACTCATGCTGCAGAGGCTGTGGATTGCTTGATAGTGCAGTGCTTAACTCCTTGCACCACCAGGGAGGCCCGAGGAACTGAATTTAAATGTTATTTAATTTCACTTAAAATAGTCAATATGGCTAACGGTCATGGTGTTAGTGCAATTTTCGAGAATACTTCATGCAATTTTTAATTTTTTTAAAGATTTATTGATTTATGCATACGAGAGCTAGGGTGAAGGCCAGAGGTATAGTTGTGGTGAGAGGATTCACCAGAGACAGAGTGGGGGGCAGAACAGTCAGACTGACTGAAATACACTGCTAAGGGGAGCAGTAGGCCAGACAGGTCTGCTGTGTCATGTGGGTTAACTCCCTGGCCTGCTGGGGAATCGAACTTGTGCTGGAGTGGCTGGCAGTAGCTTGATAGCACTGTCTTTAGCCCCTGTGCCACCAGGGAGGCCCCCACTTCATGCAATTAGATTATGAACATTGAGACAATTGGTTAAATCCTAAGCTCTCCTAATATTAGCTGTATGACCTTGGCCTGGTTATTTCACTCATGACTCAGTTTCCTCACTCCTATTTACTCAGAGTTGCTGCAAGAATTACAAAATTTAAATGTAAAGCCATTAGAACAGTATCTGACCCTGCTTAAGTGCTCCAGGGGCACCCCAACACTGCTCCTACTGTGATGGCCCTTGTCCCTAATCAGAAAGTGGAGCTGAAGGGTAGAGACAGGCAATGGTGAGCTGGATCAAGCTCCTACAGGCTCATGAGAACCAACTGTACATAACCCTTCCCAGCTCTGCATTCATCAGCATCCCACTGGCAGCTTGGCATTGGCATGGTGGGAATATTTTATACCATGGTGGTTGAATTAACTTTAGAAGAACATGTTAATTGGTAGTGTTGTCAATCTATAAAGTTGGGGTTTGCTATAAGGGAGTAGCAGAACAAACTGAGCGCTTAAAGGATCATTAAAAACCTTAAATTAAACTGGGGTGGAATGTGCATTCCAACACCTCTACTTCTCAGGGCCATCCAAGCAAGCAAGTCTTAAGACCACTGATTGTGCCTTTCAGATTAAGCCATCTGCCTACTGCTCTACCGATATATTGACATATATTTGTATTAAAGGCCAGGAGTAGCCATTGGCTTGGATGAATTATGCAGTTTACTGCTGCAAAAAATGCAGAAGGTATTCAGTACAGAGAGAATTACAACATTTTTGAGGGTAGTTGTGGGTATGTACCCCCAGTGTGTGAGGGTCAGCAGCCCTCTGGAAGCTGCCCCGTCCTCTCTGTGCCCAGCAGTCTAGTCTCTGTGCCCAGCTGGCCCATCACCCAGCTTCATGTGGGCCAGCAGGACATCATCAACCTCAGAAAACAAAAAATGCAGCATGACTGTAGGCCACCTTAGGGGTAGCTAGCTGGCGTGAACTAGGTCCTTGTCTATCAGGCTTGGCTTCCCCAGCTTACTAGGCTTGAGCACAGGGCTACAGTTCTTCAGAGGTCTTAGGAGTTGCATTTGTTGTCTACTGTTGCTATTACAAATTACAGCACATTTAGGGGCTTTAAACAATAGATATATTAGAGTTCTAGAAGTCTGAAGTCCAAAGTGAGACTCACAGGGATAAAACTAAGGTGTCAGCAGAGATGTCTTTTTTTTTTGGAGGCTCTAGGGGAGAATGTTGCCTTTTCCAAGTCCTAAAAGCAGCTTCTAAAGTTCCCACAATCCTCAGTTTGTGGTCCCCTGCCAACAATCACATCTCTCCTTCTCTGCCCCCCCTGCTTTCCTCCTTCACATATAAGAACACGTGTGATTCCATTGAGCCCTTGGGATTGTCTGGGATAGGCTCCCTATCTCAAGATCCTTATCTTAACCACTTCTGCAAAATCCCTTTTGCATGTAATATAACAGT